AAAGGCCATTAAGGTGTTGAGGTCTGTGTGAAGTGTGTACGCCATCACAATCCCTAGTTTCACGCCAGACTTTATCACTGATGTAGAAGACCATAGACATTGTCATGGTATTCGGCAGTTCATTTATTTGGAAGAGAAATAGTAGGTGATGCATTATTGTGCCATGCCTAACTCCATTCTACACCAACTTCCAACAGAAGATTTGAGAATTGATTCCTGCTTTTTGTTTCCTGCCAACAACGAACTCCCTGATCAATACAAGTAAATTACCAGTAATTTCAAAACTTTCTGGCCCCATAAACAACCAAGAGCGAAGTACCTTATCGTGAACCTCACTACAGTTTATGTAAATCAAATCTGGAGGGTTCCTATCCTCCTCAGACGTAACTCAGCTTTCTCCAACTATTGGGAGGTTCGTTAAGCAGGAGGAACGTGTACGAAAGTCATGTTGACAATTTGAAAATGTTGCTGTTGCTTTCTAGGCAAACCATAATAACTTTCTACATTACTTCTTCTAGGATTTTAAATACAGTAGTAGTCAGGCTTATTAGTTTGTATTTTGATATGTTTTTTCCGAAACATGCAAACGTTTTTCCAGTCATATGGGTGTACACCTTTGCTGAGAGATAGATTAAATAAAAAAGGCAGTAGTCAAGCTATATACGGCTCAGACGGTCAGAGCTTCCCTGGGTGTAGCTCACCCGGCTCCATTGATTTTCCCATATCCAGACTACTTGATGTCCCAAGTGTCATTGCAATCGATGTCCAAAGATTTTACTCCTAAAGGTGTTAATCCTTCCACCATCAAAGTCGCACAGGCAAAATATCTGATCATAGCGTCTGCTTTGTACTCATCATTTGAAAGTGGCTGGTCAGTTTTCTTTGCTCCGATTACGGCGAGATACCACGAAACATTTCATTCCTATTACTCGTATAAGAAAATAACCCCATCCAGTATCGCACTAACCTCGCCTGGTTAACTAATTCACTAGTTACTAGACGGTCCTAAGCCCGGGTAAAGAGGGAAGGTTGGGCATACGGCTAGCAACACTACCCCGGAAAACAATCTAACCTCTAAGGAAACTTCTATGCACAAAGAAAATATAAATAATAAAAACAAACTTATTCCTCGCTGGAATCGGGGAGACGAAATGACGCCAGTTGGTGAAAGCCTTCAGCAAGCCAATTGGCCGATGTGTCTGCTCTTCTCGCGATGAAAGCGAAAGTAAGGATGGGGACATGGAATGTCCGCACCACGTATGAACCTACCAAGGCTACCCAGATTGCAAAAGAGATGAGTAGGTATGGCATGGAAGTGCTAGGAATCTGCCAGAGCAGATGAGATGGAAGTGGACTCTCCAAGCTGTTAACTGGAGAGTCAATAATCTACTCCGATATTCTCACCCAGACGACAACCACGAGCACACTGAGTTTTTTGAGTGGCTATCATGATGTCCCCAAGAGCATCGAAGGCTCTCTCATGCAGTGGGAACCAATCTCTTCCTGCAGGATCGTGACAGCAAGATGGATTCAACTCAAAAGGAAGGAAAGTCACAATCATACAATGCTATACTAGGCACCTACAAATAATGCAGAGCAAGATAAAAAGGAGGAATTCTACAGACAACTCCAATCAACACTGGACAAGACCCCACCTCAGCTGGCGATATCAAAATTCTAATGGGTGGGGTGACATGAATGCCAAACTGGGAGGGGACAACACAGGAAAAGAACTAACCATGGGTCAAGAAGCACTCGGTGAAATGATGAACGAGAATGGAGAATTGTTTGCAGAATTCTGTGCATTCAACGATTTGGTGATTGCAGTGAAGCAGTGTGTTCAAGCACAAGGATATCCACAAAGCAACATGGATTTCACCAGATACCAGGACACACTAGAAATCAGATCGACTTCATCTCAATCTCAAGAAGTGGAGACGCAGTCTACTGAACACAAGGTCAAGAAGAGGAGCAGATGTAAGTTCACACCACACACTATCCAGTGCAAGGAACCTACCCTCAAAATCAAGTTGAAAACCTTCAAGGAGGCTGGTGATAGACCGCAGTTCAAGTACAACACTCGGAAACTGAAGGATGAGACTACAAAGGAAATCCTCACGGCAGCCAGCCATCAAGACAAAATGGGAGATATCGAGGACCATCTCTGAAGAAACCTGTGTGGAAGAACACTGGAAGTCTTTGAAAGAGATGTGGAAAGAAACCTGCACAGCCGTATTAGGAAGGAAGAAGAAAGAAGATAAGGAACGGATCTCGACGGATACCTGAAAGCTGATAGAGCAGGAAGAGGAGGATGGTGAAGCAGAAGATAAACCAGTGCAAGGATGCTCAACGACAAGAGGGGCTGAAAACAATGTATAAAACACTACACTGGACAAAGAAGTGAAGAAGGGTGCGCGGAAAGAAAAAAGACACTTCTACGAAACACTGACAAGTGAAGCAGAACAGGCTGCCGGCTGGTAGGAGAGACCTGACAACATTGTATCAAATAACTAGGTTACTATCTGCGAAGAGATCAACACACATGAAACCAATAAAAGATGATGACGGAAATTTAATTACGAAAGAAGAGAAACAAAGGAAACAATGGGCCGACCATTTCAAGAAGCTCTTGAATCGACCACCACCTGCACTTCGTCCAGAAATACCACCAACAGCCGAGCCACAGAACTACAAGTGAACATAAATCTTCCAACAAAAATGAAAGTCCTGAACGCCATAAAGCTACTGAAATGTGGGAAAGCAGCAGGACCAGATGGGATCCCGCCAGAAGCACTGAGAACAGACGCAGAGACAACAGCGGATATGCTCATACCACTATTGCAGAAGGTGTGGAAGGAAGAGAAGGTACCTGGCTAGTAATTGGAAGAAGGGTTACCTTGTCAAACTCCCGAAGAAGGGAGACCTCAGTGTTTGCAAGAACTGGCGTGGAATCACTCTCCTGTCCACACCCACCCCGAGCAAGCAAAATATTAAGCCGCATCATCCTGGAGAGGCTAAAGGATGCACTGGATTCAAAACTACGACCCGAACAGCATGGCTGGATTCAGGAAGTACAAATCATGTGCCGACTAAATTGCAACGCTACACTACGCATCATCATAGAACAGAGAATAGAATGGGAGTCAACTCTACACCTCAACTTTATCGACTTTTAGAAGGCCTTTGACAGCGTCGACAGAGAGGTAATTTGGAAACTGCTTCACTACTACGGAGTACCGCAAACCAACCTTTGTCCACCTCATTCAACAACTATATGAAGACGCCACATGCCAAGTAATTCACAATGGGAAGCTCAGGGATGCCACTGAAGTGAAGACAGGAGTGAAACAAGGTTGCCTACTATCCCCCATGATATTCCTGGTTGTGGTCGACTGGATCATGCAGCAAACAGTGAGGAGCGAGAGGAGGGGGATACGCTAGCTGGACTGTGGAAAAGAACCTAGAAGATCTGGATTTCGCCAACGACTTGTGTCTAATGTCACACAAACTTGAAGACATACAGGCGAAAACCAACAAGTTGACAGAAGAGGCAGCGAAGACGGGACTTCAAGTGAATGTAGAGAAGACAGAAGTGATGAAGTTACTGCACCAACAACTTCAACAACAACAACAAACTCCAATCACCATCAACGGGAGAAACTTAAGGGAGTAACCTCCTTCACCTATCTAGGCAGCGCAGTCTCAACTACAGGCGGCACAGGCACAGACGAGGATGTCAAAGTCAGCCAGGATCGGAGAAGCAAGATAGGCGTTCATTAGCCTGAAACCAGTGTGGAGATCTTCTTCACTCCACTCAGCATGTGAAACAAGATCCGGATTTTCAACACCAACTTCAGTCAAGTCAGTGCTTCTGTATGGTTCAGAGACTTGGCGCGTTACGAAAGGGATTTCCAATAAACTACAGACATTCATCAACAACTGCCTACGCTGGCTCGCTACTGAAGATCAGATGGCCAGGATAACAAGAATAAGCAACAAGGAGCTCTGGGAACGAACCAACCAAGAACCTATCACCCAACAAATATGTAGAAGGAAGTGGAGATGGATTGGAGTCAGCATACACTGAGAAGGCCGACTGGGACATCACGCTCCAGGCCCTCGAGTGGAACCCTCATGGGAAGCGACGAGTTGGGCTTCCGGGGGTGACATGGAGGAGATCGTGAGAGGAGGAAATGAGAGCTTCTGGGCTGTCGTGGAGCCAGGTTCAAAGAAGAAGAGAAGAGAGTGGAATGGAGACGTGCTACTGAAGCCCTATGTTCCATTAGGAACCCAAGGGACTAATAATAATAATAATAATAATAATAATAATAATAATAATAATAATAATAATAATAAGTGTCGCACTACAGCATAGGAAAGACTTGTTTTACAGGATATTTGCGACTGGTGTATTACAGCAATACATTTGTTTCCCGCTTCATGGTAATGCTTCTTCACTTTGGACGTACCGGTGTGAGTATCAAGACTCCAATAAGTTTTCTTGAGTCATAGCAAACTTTGGATTTCGCGACTTAAGCGCGGCTCATGCTGGCTCTTCTGTCTCGACTGGGCAATTTTCAAAAGAGGCTACTGGGTTGGTAGTTGCGATGTTCACCTTCCATAAACTGGGTCCCGGTCGGGTATCTACTCTGTGCAAGACAGTATCTGTGTTTATGAAGATGATCTCGGTAGTGATAACCTTTACCAAGGCATGCAAGCTTTTGGACAAACCTTATGTAATCTGCGTCAGGGGACACTAAAGTCTAGAACGGATGGGATGTGGTTATAATCGCATATAGTTACTGCTCTGATGTGCTGTATAAGAGCCAAGGAAGTCAATGATCCA